TTTTTTTGCTCCAGGGGATTGAAAAATTTATCAAATGGAAGAACTTTTTTTTTTTCATTATACCGCAGTTTACCTTGACTCATTGAATCACTGATTTTAACAAAACTTTTCCTGATGAATCCAAAGCAAAAATAAGCAAACCCATATTCCGACGTTTTTATCAGTACTCATTATTTATAAAAATATTTAGTATTTAATTTTTTTGATTATTGAAATACTAAATTATTAATATATGTGTATTATATTTCATTTAATGTAATTAAATAATTTAAATATTCAAATCTCATCATAATCATTCAAATCTAGATTAACGATTTGCAATTATTTTATTAGGGAAAAAACTCGGCACAAAAGCATTGATAATACATAGTAGATAAGATGTCCGGTAATTACGTGAACGAAATTAATTAATGAGCACTAGGATTCCCTGTCTCATAACGCTACTGATCTTATCTTCCTCATGCACAGTGTACGCAATATCAAAGTTGAACGATCGAACTTACCGGTACAGTATGTTTGCTGTGCGATATCTTCGATATTGAGACTTCGCCATCCGCTTTGATTGGTCCTCGTGGATTCAGATCTTGCGTGCCAACGTAGTCGCAATCAACGTATACTAGCAGTTTATCCTTGAAGATTCCGATATTAATTTTGTGCCAATTTTTATCGAAGATCTGTTCGAGACAAACGTCTTATCCAATTTTTTTGCTGGACAAATATGTATTAAACTTAAACTACGAAAAATAAGACTGATATCCTCTAACTGAATTCATATTATGTTTAGTTAGTCTGTCATTAATGACTTTAGTTCATTAAATTCTAGATAATTTTACATATTTGGCAAATCAACGTAATTTCATAGCACGTTATAGTACGTTTGTATTTAAGAAAGAATTACTTTAAAATTCGAACAGATAAAGAGGCAATCTAGTTAAGTTCTTTTTTTAAGTAAAAATAAGGATCGACCGTCGTTAATGGAACAATGTTGGAACAATTTTCTGTCGATGCGTTCGGAATTTCTTCGATTCATTAGGAGCAGAAACGATTAACATTTCTTTGAAGCGTAACAAATGTCACAACGAATGGTATTCTCATTAGTTTCCTCGACGCATCCTGAACACGTTCTTCTGGCCGCCCTGAAAATTATTTCGCGTGAGGCTTACGCAATGACCCGTGACACGATTTTCAACGTCAGAGTCTAATTCATATGCCAACGCGGCATCTCCATTGATATTTGACAGGAGGCTCGAGTTTTTACATGAGAATGCCGTGACATCGCTGTTTCAAGTATCCGCGTTTGTTCTCGTGGCCCATTTTAATCACCCAACGCGATCCACGTCGACATTTTTAAGAGGGAACAGCGTTAAACACGGTTTGATCTGACAGCCATTCAGCTGATTAGTGGAAACGCGCTTGGCTTGTCGATATTTCGTTCTGTTTTAACCCATTGACCCATTGAAGGCCAACACGTCATTTGCAATATCCTTTTTTTTTTTTTTTTTTTTTTT